GGCAGCACATTCCAGAAATCTTCATGGTAGGAAGCATGAAGAGAGAGTGAAGCAGAGGTACTGTCAGTGGGAGTCAGAATGAAAGCCTGGGAAAGTAAAAAGGAGGCAAGCAGAAAGGAGCAGAGATATAAGGACAGGAAGGCGCGTGTCCTATTTCAATCTTCCTCCTCCACAAGAAGGAGTGGAGAGCTGCAGGTTCAACAACAGGTGAGAAAAAGATTCCTTGTGTCTGCCCACTGTATGTGGAGGGATGGTGTCAGGTAAGGGCCGAGTTACTGCCGGAAGAGCAAGGCTTAGCCTTGCTAATCCTGCGGCGGGGGAAAGGCCAACACAGAAGCGACTCAGTCAAAGCAACAGAGGTAGCGAGATGTTTATATTAATTTGTGTGTCATGTTGCCTTGTTAATGGGATGCAGAAAGCAAGCAAGAAGGAAGAATCCAACGTAGGTAGTATGGGAGAAGCAGGGAATAAATTGCAGCAGCAGTTTCTGAGGTGCAGTGAGCATTTGAGAAGAGAGGAAAATAGGTATTTTTTGCCTTGCCATGTGCTAAGCTGTTGTAGCTACCCTAGAAGTAATTGTGGTGACTGGGAACTGGGCTGCAGGAAACATGCTGGCATAGATGGGCATGTTTGGCTGAAAGGGATCAGAATGAAATCACTAGTGGAAAAGGATGCAAGCCAAAAACTTACTGCTGATTTGCTGGCTTATCTTCTCCAGCTGATTGCACAGCCGGTCAAATATTGCTTTCTTCACCCCAGATGTAGCCAACATTTTAGTTTTGTCCACTTTTAACTTCAAACACCTACAAGAGAAAGTTAAGTTATCTCTGTGCAAAGCAACACACCAGCAGCTGTCACTCAGGTGAGGTGACATTTCCTATAGCAACGCTGCCTGTGAAAATGCGGGAAGGTAGGCCTGAGGGTTTTGTCCCATCTAATCCTTGTCTCAGGAAAAAAAGTGCTTAAAGACCCCTACATTACTCAGTCCCTTCCTGACAAGGGGAAAAAATTCCCACTAAATCTGAATATGTTCCTAAGGAATTATGTTATTCTGGTTAGGATGAGAGGAAGGAGGGTGAAGTGCAAAACACTAACAGAAGTTCTTCAGCCATTACCATGTACCTATCCTAATGGGATTACCCCCAGTAGCCACCTGTACACCAGGGAAGACAGACTTCATTTATTTTAGGATAGGTAACTCAAGATCCTTTTTTGTGTATTTGATAGAATATTTCTGCTTTCTCCTGAAGGCAAATGCAGTATAGGTTGGAGACTTCACTGTAAGGAAAGGCCTGGCTTGCTACAGCTCTCTCCATTTCCAGGAGCAGGGCAGCAGGATGCACTCAGCAAGAGCCTTCAGACTGTCAGACACGCTGAATGAATGAGCTGCTAACACTGCGAGCACCGTGCCTGTTTGGTGCCTCGCTGGGTGGCGAAGCCCATCAAAGACCCCTCAAGCTATGCTCACCTGCAGGCAGTGAACAGCGCAGCTGTTACAAAAAGCGGTTTTGAGAAATCCAGGTCCGTTTGCTGTGCTTCCGAAAGGCTGGATTCATACCTAAACAACAACGAGAGAGAATTGTATAGTGCATTTGCCTCAAACGAAGCTGTGGAAATGAATCTGTCACACGGTACCCAGCACTTGAACAGGTCTCCTCCTGGATCACTTGGTCCTTTGCAACCCAGTCAAGAAGCAGCTGCTACTGGCTGAGAAGAGCTACAGCCAGTAGGGTAAAGAAGGGAATTAGGATCACCTCCTTGTTTTGAATTAGAGGTGTTTTAAATTCAGGATCTGGACCCAGGCGTGTCAGTAAAATCAATTTCTTGTGCTCCCCACCCACAGAGCACTTTTATCTCTACATTACATCTAAAAATTAAAATGAGGTGCTTTGCATCAACCCATCCTACAACAGAGGGTAGAATTACAGTTTCTTTGATTCCTCTAATACACATACTACACAGATGAAATCTTACATATAGAAAATGACATGATGGATGTGCAGCACTAAAGAATTTAATTGTTTTATTGTCCACCTGTCCCCAAGCTATTTTTCTTTTGTTTGTATTAAGCATTGATAACCACACTCAGCATTTGTTCACTGACCCGCAACCCAGAATATCCTAAATTTCTAACAGCATTTAAACATGTGCTGTCACGGTGACAGCACTCCAGAACAGAATCTTCAGTGATTGCTTTTCTTAAATCAGATGGTACAGCGTGCAGAATTTTAGTTAAATCTGTGGAATCTCCAATCAAGTGTTCTACCTATTGTTTTTAGGAGTACTGTGTGTGGTAAGAGATCTGCTTCTCCAGAAGGGAGGGTTGGTTTCTACTGGGCATTACTTCTGAGCGGTGACATGATCAGCAGTTAAATGGAATGCTATGGACAATGCGTGTGATGCTATGGACAAATACAGGGATTGAGAATCCTGTATTATTTATACTATTCCCTGTTGAAGAACTGGGATTCAGACAACTATGTACTGAGATTCACAGACTCCTTCTAACATGCATTCTAAGTGGCCTAGATTAATAGCTGGAGTGTCAGTGCTAAGAACTCACCACTCCAGTCAGTGGGAGATAGCTGGCCCTTCAAACCATCAAGCTCTTTACACATCTGACACACAAAGAATCTTACTAGTGGTTACCCGTGCACTCACAAGAGCTTCCTCACCTCTGCAGTATTTTTGACGCGGTGCTCACTGCCTCTGTGCAGCAGAATTGCACAGCCAAGTCTCGCATTCCCAACCTGGGGTTCACCTCTAGCAAGCATTCCAAAGACTTCATGGAGCTCTGGTAGGTCGTCTTGCTCAAACCGGAGAGTTTAACAAAATAGCTCTTTCAAGAAGACAAAGACAAACCCCAAGAATTTGCTTATTCAGGCAACCTAAATAGATTAGGGAGAAACTACACAAGACTGTAAACCAAAGTTCAATTATTGTATTAAACAAATTTATGCAATGAATGATGTAAGTTTGGACTGCCCACAGAAAGATTAACCACCTATGAATGCCACATCTTTTAATGCAGTGTTATTTTTAGACCATTTCACTGGAAGTGAGGTTTGTCTTTCTCACGTGATACGGCGTGCCCTTTTATCACAAGGTGGTTCAAACAAAGGTAACCAAGATCCAGGCAACTTAAAGAACTGAGCAGTACCTTCATGGTACTCCTCACGGGGTCAGATCCAATTAAGTTCTCTGTCTGTGAATGGACAATCACAAACATCTTGTACCAGACATTATTTTGGCAGCTCAGTGCCATTTACCCCCACAGGTCTGCAGAGGTTTACAGGTACCACTATTATATAAATGGATTCCTTGGGGCCACTGCTTTCCTCCCTAGTAAAAGGGACAGATCTTCAATTTAACATTCTTGCTGGCAGTTTGTTTGTTATTAAAAGCTGAAATAATAAAAAGCAAACTCTTCTTGTGAAATGACTACAAAACTGATCTCAATTAATCATTTCAAATTCTGAGCAGTGAATGTTCTGACTCTGTGCAGCAGCACACTGGGTCTACAGTAATGTCAGTTACTACTGATGTTTACTTTCTTCCTCCCAACAGACACTACACAGAACAATGATTTTAGTGGACTCATTGAGAACGCACCAGCAAACCAACTCACATACTGTATCTTACTTTGTCAACTGGTTGTTTCATGAAACTGGCTGCTAGGTCAAGGCACATCACAGCAGTGCTCGTCGCTGTCATCTGAGCCATTAATCCTGTACATTTCACCTGGGATAGCCGCAGGTACTCCTCAGCTTTTCTGCAAAACAGCAGCATACAAACCAGTTACAGGAGAGTAAGAAGGGCAGGACAGGAACTGGAGGGAAAGGGATGCTGAGCAGGACGGCAAACACCAGGAGAGTACTGCCCTTTCTCTGACAATCTGCATTTCTTAACCCGCACCGGCTGTTTCGCTGTGTGCACCTTGAGATCTGGGGCTTTTTTCACATGGACCAGAAGCAAAGAAGGAAGCGGGTGCCAGGCCGGCACGGCGAGGTGAGGCAGGCCTCGGCTGCCGC